TCGCGCAGTATTGTCACTTCGACCCCCCACCTCGCTTCCGCGGAAGACATCGTTATGTTACAAGTTGTGTCATGCAAAATCCTTTTGGTCATGATTCAAATACATATTTAACTAAGAGTAGAAAGTAGTTTGATTTTCTAACTTGATGAAAACAAACCATAATCTCATTTATTCTAAGAGACTTTAGCCCATGACTTCACGATTTTCAAAAATGGCGCGCCCTGTCGCGAACGATTGTAGGAAAAAAAGAATCAGGAAAAAATGAATCAGGAAAAAAAGAAACGGAAAAAAAGAAACAGCATAAAAAAGAATCAGCTTATGAAAAAGCTTACAGTCAGTATATTATTAAGGGATTAACTGGCTTCCAATCAAGTATTATTGGTATATAGTTACATTAGTTTTGATAGTGGTACCAATATATCTATATAAGAGTAAAGCATGTCAGTTTGAGGTAAGACATTATGGAGGTGATAGAGAGCAACAAGGGTGGCAAGAAGCTTTGCTGGAACGGGTACATGTACACCAGAAACTGTACAAGAAAGAACAAGGTCTGGTGGAAGTGCTCAAAGAAGTCTAGTCTTAACTGCTGTGCATCATTGTACACCACTCTGGACATGGAAAATCCAACTCTCCAGACAGATCACCACCATGCACCTGAAGAAGCAAAGATCAAGTATGCCAGGTGTAGACAGGAGATGAAAAAACATATTGGTTATGATATTGGTTCATTATTCCACCAATAAATGTGTCAACTGATTCTTTTTTTCCTGTTTCTTTCTTCCTAGCAAAAATTGATTCTTTTTTCCGATTCTTTGTTTCCTGATGCTTTTTTTCCGATTCAGTTAATGAATTTATAACAGGTCCGCCAGTCTGAGGATAAATGCTATTTAGGTTTGTTTGTTACAAAATCAAAACTACTTTCTACTGGTAGTAAAATATGTATTTTATTAATGGCCAATAGGATTTTGCATGACATAGCTTATAACATACCAATTTCTCTCGTGGCAGCGAGGTGGGTGTCAATATAATACTACTTACAATTATATTGTCACTTCGACGACAACCTCGCTTCCGAGGAAGAACTCGTTACATTACAAGTTGTGTCATGGAAAATCGTTATGGTTATCAATTATATACATATTTTACTACAACTAGTAAGTAGTTTTGATTCTTTAACTTCCGTGAAGCGATCTGAACGCAAGTAAGATATCGTTCCAGGCTTCCACAACGGTCGCTTCGCACTCACAAACATAACCCATTTAGCACGAACTGCGGGGTCCTGTGGAAATCTGTGCATGGTGACACCATCGCCCGACCCCTGGGAGCAATTGACGACAGCGCAACGATTCGGCGTGTCGTCGTTGATGTCGAGAAATCATCAAAATGACGAGCTTGCTACACACTTTCTATACAAATAACTGAAAATCCTTCCTCATATGACGTCACTGCAGTGCTCTGGCGACAGAGTTACGTAACCTGTCTGTGGTTTCGTTGGCGGGCGAGATTGAAGCAGGCGACTTTTTGACCACTTTTAATCGCTCGGTATGAATTAACCACAAGTTTTTTAAGAATGAATTTGGTGTTCCGCATAAGATTAACCACAAATCTTTCATATGTAATGGTTCTAAGAGTACAAAAAACCAAAGTTTATTTGTTCTTTAAGATTTCGACTGGAATCTTTCCCATATTTCTTTCTTTATTAACGTTTGGAAATCCATGATCCATCATGTTACGATGACTTACAGCTTTACCTCCTGGTATTTCAGCGCTGTGCGCGTAGGAATGTCAGCACCAGTCTTTAACAAATAAAAACTTCTCTGTGTGCCATTGATTTTGTAGAAACAATCTGAAACTGTGTACAGTGTAGTCTATTTTGTTTTTATTGGTTTGACTTTAACAAAATGGGCCTGCAGATTTTATTCAGGGCCTGTAGATTTTAAAGCCTGCAGGCGGCACCAGGCCCTAATGGCCAACTGGCAAATTAAAGTATTACAAACACTGTACCAAGGGTGCGTTTGATAACGAGGGGGCTGACGAGAATGGCGTAGCGACGTCGATGCAGTGTGGCGTCATGCAAAAACTGTTTCGGCGCCTTTGATCAATGAGCACAGCATCTTAGAAATATGAATAGAGGCAACAGGAACACACAATAGATGACATTGAGAAGCATACACGTCTCGTGTACACCTAACACAGGTGCAGCCGAGCATGGTCTCTCTCTGCTTTACATTTATTGTCGTTCATTGTGAAACGTCTGAACATTTGGGGAATATGAACGAAATAAATATCAACCCCCAGTGCGTTGATAACACATTTATACATCCTTCCATCTAGCTACTCTACATACATAGGCCCTCTATTAAACTACCCTGTTTTATCACTAGCATCTTTTGTTTCGCAATATAATAACATTTTCTTTATCCATTTAAGGATCTAAACATCCAAGCATATGCCAAGTAAGATGTTTTGTTAATTGTTCCATCTCTTGCTACTAATGAAGTTGGAATATATAATTTGTGGAATGTAAACTGTCCATAGATGTGTGAAAGAATATAAGAAAACGAGTAAGTGAGTGTGGTTTTACCCCGCTTTAAAAATATTCCACCAATATCACGACGGGGGACACCAGAATTGGTCTTCACGCATTGTATCCATATGGGGTATCGAACCCTGGTTTTCGGCGCGAGGAGCGAAAGCGTTAGCCAATATGCTACCCCACCGCCCGGATAAGAAAATGAGCCCATAGTACGCTGAAGTTATTGAAATTAGAAGTTGTGTTGTAGTTTGAGTATGAGAAATACTCTTTGCTGGGATGTTCAGATGATGCCCTGCTATTTATTCATACGCTCTTGTGGGCGAATGAGTGAAAAGAATAGAAACATAATGGAAATTACACACATGTTACATTCCAGTCCGCATTATCTGGTTTAACTCTTGACAGACGCAGTCATCTTCAAACTAACACTGTGGAATACAGGACCGACTCTGTAACGTGTTGTACAGGATGGTATCCAGACAGTGACGTTTGTGGCTGGGTCGTCACTGTCTGTAACGTAATGTAGAGGATGGTATCAAGACAGTGACGTTTGTGGTTTGGTCGTCACTGACCCTGTAACGTGTTGTACAGGATGGTATCTAGATAGTGACGTTTGTGGTTTGGTCGTCACTGACTCTGTAACGTGTTGCACAGGATGGTATCCAGACAGTGACGTATGTGGCTAGGTCGTCACTGACTCTGTAAGGTGTTGTACAGGATGGAATCAAGACAGTGATGTTTGTGGCCAAGTTGTCAATGACTCTGTAACGTGTTGTACAGGATGGCATCCCGACAGTGACGTTTGTGGCTAGGTCTTCATTTACTCTGTAACGTGTTGTACAGGATGGAATCAAGACAGCGACGTTTGTGGCTAGGTCGTCACTGACTCTGTAAGGTGTTGTACAGGATGGTATTCAGACAGTGACGTATGTGGCTAGGTTGTCACTGACTCTGTAACGACTCTGTAACGTTGTACAAGATGGATACAGGATGGATGGTATCCAGACAGTGACGTATGTGGCTAGGTTGTCACTGACTCTGTAACGTGTTGTAGAGGATGATATCCAGACAGTGACGTTTGTGGCTAGGTCTTCATTTACTCTTTAACGTGTTGTACAGGATGGAATCCAGACAGTGACGTTTGTGGCTAGGTCGTCACTGACTCTGTAACGTGTTGTACAAGGTCGTCACGTCACTGACTCTGTAACGTGTTGTACAAGATGGAATCAAGGTGACAGCGACGTTGTGTACAGGATGGAATCAGGACGTCGTCACTGACTCTGTAACGTGTTGTACAGGATGGAATCCAGACGTTTGTGACGTTTGTGGCTAGGTCGTCACAGTGACTCTGTAACTGACTCTGTAACGTTGTACAGGATGGAATCAAGACAGTGACGTTTTACTGACTCTGTAACGTGGCTTTGTGGCTTAGGTCGTCACTGACTCTGTAACGTGTTGTACAGGATGGTATCCAGACAGTGACGTTTGTGGCTAAGGTTGGTCGTCACTGACTCTGTAACGTGTTGTACAGGATGGAATCAAGACAGTGACGTTTGTGGCTAGGTCGTCACTGACTCTGTAACGTGTTGTACAGGATGGTATCCAGACAGTGATGTATGATAGTGGGGACAAGACAGTAATCACCAGTCAGGTCCGTAGTAAAGAGGTGAACAGACAGTTTGGATTGACGCCGACTTTGATAAGTGTTTCAGTTATGTCACACATCTGAGTTTGCTGCGGGATGAGGATGTGACGTGAGGCAGGTCATAGACGTTGACTGCTTTGGCGATGACACCCATGAACATATCTGCAGACACAGGGGTTCGAATCACTGTTTAGACAAGCATTTAAAATAAATCTAGACTTTTGCAATCGTATTTTGTTTGAATATGTTATGATTAACATATATGTCAAATTTGAACGAAATCGGTAAAGAAATGAATATTTTAAGAACATTCTACCGCTACACTTTATTTTGCGTAATGAGTGTAGCGGTAGAAGTTGCAGCAACTGTCTGAAATACACATGATATTCTTGGTTGTCGAGCACATGGTCTTAGGTTTGGTCTTGGCAAAGGGACGTAACTCCGTACAAGACGAGTGGTTTACTCGCGACTCTCTTTCCTATTCATTGATAATCTGTCGGATTTACGAGCACGTGGGGCACAGAATGTGATCATATCAAATAAAATGTGGATCCGCACTTTATGTCATGCAACACTTTATCAAAACTTGAGGCAACTGTTGACAGACTTTGTATATTTCGTTGTTTTATTTATGATATGAAGTGGATCAGGAATAGTAAGTGCAAGCAATCGTGTTTGACATATTCATGTTGCGGATTAATGTATTTTTGTCTCACTGCACCTTGACCTTTGACCTTGACCTCCAGTTCCCCAGGGTCGAAGGTCATTGTGACGAGCATTCGTCTGAGGTTCACAAGATGTTATTTATTATTCTTGCAGTTAATGTCTGAATGGTACGACGTTACACTGAAGAAGGTAGCAACGTTTTGTTTTACAGTAAACGTATTTGCTTTGAATCACTCACCGCTTTTTGTTATAAGTAACACATATCACGTACAAATGTTTGCTGCAGTTATTTGCATGACCAACTCGAAACCAAATCGCGATGTTTATCAAACTAATGTAAAATCAAACACAGCTATAAACAGAATATGTTCAATGATGTTTGATGTTGAATGATCATTTTATTTTTAATTTCAAAATTGAATTAAATTTATTAATTCACCTGTAGGTGTAGAAAATGTACATGTACGTTTACAATTCATCTACACAGGACGATGGCACTAAGGTGAATATGAGAAACTAGATCTGGCCATTTCGTAGTTGTATGTCTTTTATTTTACTTTTGCTGCTGTTTAGATAGCCCGGTTATTTACTGCAGGTGTTTCAGTTAGATGTTCGTAGTGCTGCCAAGATGTGGTAGTGATAGCGTCTATTTGAGTGACGTTGTAGCTTCATGTAGTATAGCCGTGTTTCTATGGAGATAAACAAAACCGGAGACATGCCACATATTGGTATCATCGTAAAATGCCTGATTCTTTCATTTGTGAGCGGTGTAGTCGGTATATGCGAGGTCGTATACGCCTTACGGATCCTGGTGTGTTGCCATGAAAATGAAATAACAACAGCAAAGAAAACGAAAGCTGCTTAGGGACAGTTCATAATTTATGGCTAGGGAGTGGGGGGTTGAGTGATGATGATTTTAAGGGGGGGTCACCCATTTTGTTCTTGGGAGCTAGAGGGGTCATCAATTTTGTACACATGTACTGGGGTGGGGTGGGGGATGGTCAGCAGTTTTGTACATAAACTACATTTATAATTATGCTTCGAAGTTAGGGGAAGGGGAGGGCGTCATTGATTTTGTATATGACATGCGGGGGGTGTCACTTATTTTGTACATTTTAAAATCATCATCACACCCCCTAGCCAGTAATCATGAACGGTCCCTAAGATATTGTGCTCTATTGTTGTCGACAAGTTCTGTTGTTAAACAACGTCAACGAAACCTATTGTTGTTGTCAGGAAATAACAATTATAAGAAACACGCCGTAATGGCTGCTTTCTAAAAATAAATACTTGCATGCTTTGTCTAATATTGCACTTCAAAGCCAGCAATGTATTACTTTAACATCTTCGTCATGTCACACCGTATCGTGTGAACCTATATTTATTACATGCAGTCACATAACCCCTAATGGCTTTTAATAAGTGGAATTGCTTCATCGAACTCATATACCTGTTGAAGATTTGAAGTGCGAGGAGTGAAAGTCGATATGCTGTTGGCGCGTCAGTAATATTGCAGTCCACTGATACAAGCTCTTCTATTTTCCGACCTTCACCTGGCAGGAATGTTTAGCATAACGTTAGTTTGTTTTCCACATCGATAATTTTACAGTGCGACTGCTTATCATACATATAACTGGCCATCACAGATGCGAAACCTTGAAATTCTTCTGACGTTGACCTTGACCTTGACCTTGCAGGAAGCGATACCTCATCGAAACAGCGTCGTGATCACCGTCACTCAGGGCGCTGCAGCTGCGTTTGGGATAGACGATGACGATGACAAGTACTCGGTGTCGGAGATGTCGGTGGGGGCGACGAAGAATGAGAAACAGGGCAAGAATCCCCGAGAAGCGTTCGGAAAACCTGGCCTCAAGAATAACCATCTGGGACTGGAACGCATGGTAAGAGATACGCCCCTTACTGACGTCTTTAGCATGCTGTAACTAACGCCTTACCCATGCAACGGAGATATTTACTGTTGTTTACGATTCTTTCTCCTCTACTCGTGCGCCTCCTCCCTCCTCTTTCATACATGCTCGTTCTCCTGTTCTCTCCTCTAGACTCTCTGAGTGCGACGTTAAACAACAAACCAACCACCCCTCTCCACTCATCCGCCTCCTTTACCCCTGCATACTACCCGTGTAGATCCGGGTTAGAATTGATCTTCAGCAACCCATGCTTGCCGTAAGAGGTGACTAACGGGATCGGTTGGTCAGGCTCACTGACTTGGTTGACATATGTGATATCGTAGAACGATGATCATGATGTTGATCACTGGATTGTCTGGTCCAGACTCGATTATTTACAGACCGCCGCCATATAGCTTGAATATTGCTGAGTGCGGCGTAAAACAACAAGCCAACCAACCAGCCACCCTCCACTCATCTGCCTCCCTTACCCCCGAATATCACCCATCTCTCTCTCACTACACTTGTGAGTATTTCGGCTTCTTCCACCCAGACTTTCACGGGTTTTCATCTCCTCCCTTCATCTTCAGAAATCCGTGGTGGCAGAGACCCACATCACCGACACGGAGTCGTCCAGCACGGAGAACTGCAAGCCCGAGCATGATGACTCCACTCCAGCACAGGCGGTCAACTCAGGTCACCAGGAAGAGGGCTCCCACGGGGAGGGGGCCTCAAGTAAGACACGTAGAGGTAGACATAGCGTAGAGGCCTTCTAGCAGCACATCACTGAAAGAGAGAGGAGGTATTGGGTGAGAGATGGAGGGAAGGCACGAAAGGTCGAGAGATGGGGAGATGAAGATGGACAGAGAGCGAGAGAGAAAGAGCTAGATGCTCAGAGATTGGCACATACAGAGACATGGAGAAAGGGGGAGAGAATGGGAGGGGGAGAGATAGAGGAGGGGAGACAAGGAAAAAAGACAGAGATGGAGGGTGGGGGAAAGAGAGACTAGGAACAAGGCGAGGTACAAAAAAGTTTGTGAAAAGCATACTCGGAAGGTTATAGAGGGTGAGAGAGAGGGTGGAACAGACAGAGAAACGAGGTTAGGCAAAGTAGAAGTTGATGATAATCATACTCGCAAGATGAGAGAGAGTGGAAGAGTGAGGAACGAGTGGAGGTACAACTGACTTACGCGGATGATGTGTGATTGTGGAAGGGGAGGAGAGAGTGGGAAAGATGACAATGGGAAAGAGAGAGGAGTGGAGGGTGGGGGAGGAAGATCGAAGCCAAGAGAGGCCAACGTTGGTTGCGAGATAGAGAGAGGAGATAACGTAGCCCTACACAATGGATGACTGAGACGGACTGAGAGCGGTAAAGCAGCGGAAGGGAGAGAAAGTGATTGAGGTACTATACCCATGGATGCACAAATCTAGACGCAGGTCACGTACGTAGAGTGCATAGAATAGATTAACTTCAACTGTTGTCCAGGGAGGGTGTGACTCCACGGCTGTCGGGTTTCACGAGGCCACAGTCACACCCCACGAAGTAGTGCTAATACCTATAATTATGTTCTCTTCACGATTTTGTCCAGCGCAATCTTTTCGTAATTTGCACGATATACAAAATGCTTTTCTTCATGTACACATTTCAATAAATAAAGGTATGCGACTGTCCCCACGTACATATTTCAATAGATACAATTCCTATTCTGAAAGCAACTGTTTTAAAAACTAAAATGATGACAACACCAATGACCTTGGTCTTGTTGTAGCGTGATCGCTCTGTTCCTGCAGATATACTTATTATCAACATTTGTCATTTGTCAGTGTTCGCACCAGGTAAGCGTCAATATCTCTGAAGGTATTAAATACGTTCACAAACCCTGTATGATAACTGGATTACTATATTCAACTATCCTCTTTCTATTTCAAGATAAGGTGTAGTCTCATGTACAGGTTACGTTATAGGAAGTTTCCCACAAACTGCGATGTCACTATGCCGCCCTTCCCGGGCTAACCCCACATATATTGATCTGCAGGCAAGGAGGACGAGTCTACCATCACCGAAGTGGATGACATGGACAATCTGACAGGTCCTTCAAGTTTCGCGCTGTTTGCTCAAACCAAGTTCCAGCTCCGTACGACGCATGTCTACAGCTGTGCCGCTCTACAGGGCTCCTTACTGCCCAAACACGACAGAGCTGATACACTGGTATGTCCGCAAACACGACAAAGCTCAGAAACTGATATGTCCCCAAAAAAGACAGATCTGATACACTGGTATGTCCTCACACATGACAGAACTGATACACTGGTATGTCCTCAAACATGACAGAACTGACACACTGGTATGTCCTCAAACACGACAGAACTGACACACTGGTATATCCTCACACATGACAGAACTGACACACTGGTATGTCCTCACACACGACAGAACTGACACACTGGTATATCCTCACACATGACAGAACTGACACACTGGTATATCCTCAAACACGACAGAACTGACACACTGGTATATCCTCACACACGACAGAACTGACACACTGGTATATCCTCAAACACGACGGAGCTGACACACTGGTATGTCCTCAAACATGACAGAACTGACACACTGGTATATCCTCAAACACGACAGAACTGACACACTGGTATATCCTCACACATGACAGAACTGACACACTGGTATATCCTCACACATGGCAGAACTGACACACTGGTATATCCTCACACATGACAGAACTGACACACTGGTATATCCTTACACATGACAGAACTGACACTCTGGTATATCCTCACACACGACAGAACTGACACACTGGTATGTCCTCAAACACAACAGAGCTGATACACTGGTATGTCCTCACACATGACAGAACTGACACACTGGTATATCCTCAAACACAAAAGGGCTCACACACTGGAATGCCGTCTACATGGCTCCCTATACTGCCCAAACACGACAGAGCTGACACTCTGGTATGTCCTCACACACGACAGAGCTGACACTCTGGTATGTCCCCAACACAAATACATACCTCAGGAACACAAACTGACATACTGATATATCCTCCACAGGGCCTCATGCTGCCAAACCATGACAGGACTGACTCACTGGTAGTTCCTAGACACTCACACATACCACCCAAATATTACAATTACCAAAACACATGCTTTGTTTGACCTTGACAGTCTCACAGAAAGTCATCTAATTACAGGCGTCTCTGGCCTCGTGGGTGACCATCCTCCGGGTCATGGGGGATCTCCCCGAGAGTTCGGGACAGTTCCTTTCCGTCATTGGGGTAAGTCAGCAGTACATGTATTGGCTGTGATATCGTGGATACCTTGTCAAGTATACCTTCAGAATATTAGGTCAGGCGCATTGTCATGAAACTTTCGTTGTGAGTACCTTCATGAGGATACGTTAATTTCTTTTGAATATTTAATGCATATTTATTCAATGCTATAGATCCATGATTACCGTGGTGCGAATACATTGTTCGTGTGGTTGTGTTGACACAAACCCAGAGCCAGAACATAACACGGAATGAGAAAGTACAATCAGAAAAAGTTTGGATATACATCCTTTGCCTACTTGGCTCTCACTTCATGGAACCCGTTACCTCTTCAAATCAAGGAGGCAGAATCCATGGACATTTTAAGAGCGACCCCGAGACCTATCTCTTTAGGACTTTCTATAACTTGTGAGCACCCAAGAAAAAAAACACGCCTATAACTTTTCGCAGTGAATTCATTTTGTTTGTAGCGCCATGAGCAAGCTCTCTGTGCCTGGAGTTTAGCGCAGTATAAGTGCACATAATATTATTAATGCCTACTGCCTTATTCATATAATTATTCATATTATCCTTCATTTGTATGTGATATACACCGTCCTCAGACTCACAATGCTATCATTCTACAGGAGGAACCATCAATCATAGCCAAGGTCAAGGCTGGATTCAAGCGGAAATACTCGAAGAAAGACCTGGATGAGGTTCAGAAAAATATTCGGAATATGTAAGTCGTCGCCATGGTACCCCTCTAGCCTCCTTCCTGGACATGCCTGCGTAACACCTCAGCCAACCTGAGGATAACGTCAATGATCCTAGCATGAAACACTTTACCACAATACATCCAAATAACGACGTGTGTTTAGTTAGTCAGGACTTACAAATTAAGGCAAAGTATATTCTATTATGAAAAGCTTACTATGTGACGTCAGCTTACATTTAATCAAAGCGGATGAGTAGGGTGTAAAGCATTATTCTGGTTGTGTGCACATGTACAACACATGTACAACACATGTACAACACAGGGATACAGTAGACAACGGTGCATTTTGCAGTTCAAAGACCCCGTGAGTGCCGAGGTGTCAGACATCCCGTTCTTACCCAGCGGCAAGGAGACGATGCTGGAGAAGATACAGTACCTGTGTGCCTTGGGTATATACAGGACAGACCTCAGGTAACGTCCCTGGATTCCTGGGCTAACATTGGCAATACTGTGTCAGTTATAAGGGATAAGGTGACTTGTGTACGAATACTGTGTTAGATAACGATACAGTACTTGTGTAATGCAATACCTGTGTGCCTTGGGTATATACAGGACAGACCTCAGGTAACGTCCCTGGATTCCTGGGATAATATTGGCAATACTGTGTCAGTTATAAGGGATAAGGTGACTTGTGTAAGGCAATACTGTGTCAGTTAAAAGGGATAAGGTGACTTGTGTAAGGTAATACTGTGTCAGTTATAACGTATAAGGTGACTTGTGTAAGGCAATACTGTGTCAGTTATAAGGGATAAGGTGACTTGTGTAAGGCAATACTGTGTAAGTGACTTATAAGTTGGATAAGGTGACTTGTGTAAGGCAATACTGTGTCAGTTATAACGGATAAGGTGACTTGTGTAAGGCAATACTGTGTCAGTTATAACGGATAAGGTGACTTGTGTAAGGCAATACTGTGTCAGTTATAACGGATAAGGTGACTTGTGTAAGGCAATACTGTGTCAGTTATAACGGATAAGGTGACTTGTGTAAGGCAATACTGTGTCAGTTAAACGGATAAGGTGACTTGTGTAAGGCAATACTGTGTCAGTTATGACGGATAAGGTGACTTGTGTAAGGCAATACTGTGTCAGTTATTGTAAGGCAATACTCGTCAGATAAGGGATAAGACTTGTGTAAGGCAATACTGTGTCAGTTATAACGGATAAGGTGACTTGTGTAAGGCAATGACTACACAGTGTGATTCAATAGCTTCATGCCTTGTTTGTCGAGATCCCTCAGAATCACAGAGAGAATTGGGCTACCATGTGTATCCACGTGAAGATTCGAACCCAGATCTTATTAAGTAAATTAAAACTTCCATTCTTCATACATCTTTCATTCATATGAAGCTGTGATGTTGTTTCAGGGACGAGTTATACTGTCAGTTTAGTGAATGGTGATGTTGTTTCAGGGACGAGTTATACTGTCAGTTTAGTGAATGATGATGTTGTTTCAGGGACGAGTTATACTGTCAGTTTAGTGAATGATGATGTTGTTTCAGGGACGAGTTATACTGTCAGTTTAGTGAATGATGATGTTGTTTCAGGGACGAGTTATACTGTCAGTTTAATGAATGATGATGTTGTTTCAGGGACGAGTTATACTGTCAGTTTAGTGAATGATGATGTTGTTTCAGGGACGAGTTATACTGTCAGTTTAATGAATGATGATGTTGTTTCAGGGACGAGTTATACTGTCAGTTTAATGAAAGGTGATGTTGTTTCAGGGACGAGTTATACTGTCAGTTTAATGAAAGGTGATGTTGTTTCAGGGACGAGTTTATACTGTCAGTTTAATGAAAGGTGATGTTGTTTCAGGGACGAGTTATACTGTCAGTTTAATGAAAGGTGATGTTGTTTCAGGGACGAGTTATACTGTCAGTTTAATGAAAGGTGATGTTGTTTCAGGGACGAGTTATACTGTCAGTTTAATGAAAGGTGATGTTGTTTCAGGGACGAGTTATACTGTCAGTTTAATGAAAGATGATGTTGTTTCAGGGACGAGTTATACTGTCAGTTTACCATCAGAAAGGATGATGTTGTTTCAGGGACGAGTTATACTGTCAGTTTAATGAAAGGATGATGTTGTTTCAGGGACGAGTTATACCGTCAGTTTAATGAAAGATGATGTTGTTTCAGGGACGAGTTATACTGTCAGTTTAATGAATGGTGATGTTGTTTCAGGGACGAGTTATACTGTCAGTTTAATGAAAGGTGATGTTGTTTCAGGGACGAGTTATACTGTCAGTTTAATGAATGGTGATGTTGTTTCAGGGACGAGTTATACTGTCAGTTTAATGAAAGGTGATGTTGTTTCAGGGACGAGTTATACTGTCAGTTTAATGAAAGGTGATGTTGTTTCAGGGACGAGTTATACTGTCAGTTTAATGAAAGGTGATGTTGTTTCAGGGACGAGTTATACTGTCAGTTTAATGAAAGGTGATGTTGTTTCAGGGACGAGTTATACTGTCAGTTTAATGAAAGGTGATGTTGTTTCAGGGACGAGTTATACTGTCAGTTTAATGAAAGGTGATGTTGTTTCAGGGACGAGTTATACTGTCAGTTTAATGAAAGGTGATGATTGTTTCAGGGACGAGTTATACTGTCAGTTTAATGAAAGGTGATGTTGTTTCAGGGACGAGTTATACTGTCAGTTTAATGAAAGGTGATGTTGTTTCAGGGACGAGTTATACTGTCAGTTTAATGAAAGGTGATGTTGTTTCAGGGACGAGTTATACTGTCAGTTTAATGAAAGATGATGTTGTTTCAGGGACGAGTTATACTGTCAGTTAAATGAAAGGTGATGTTGTTTCAGGGACGAGTTATACTGTCAGTTTAATGAAAGGTGATGTTGTTTCAGGGACGAGTTATACTGTCAGTTTAATGAATGATGATGTTGCTTCAGGGACGAGTTATACTGTCAGTTTAATGAAAGGTGATGTTGTTTCAGGGACGAGTTATACTGTCAGTTTAATGAAAGGTGATGTTGTTTCAGGGACGAGTTATACTGTCAGTTTAATGAAAGGTGATGTTGTTTCAGGGACGAGTTATACTGTCAGTTTAATGAAAGGTGATGTTGTTTCAGGGACGAGTTATACCGTCAGTTTAATGAAAGGTGATGTTGTTTCAGGGACGAGTTATACTGTCAGTTTAATGAAAGGTGATGTTGTTTCAGGGACGAGTTATACTGTCAGTTTAATGAAAGGTGATGTTGTTTCAGGGACGAGTTATACTGTCAGTTTAATGAAAGGTGATGTTGTTTCAGGGACGAGTTATACTGTCAGTTTAATGAAAGGTGATGTTGTTTCAGGGACGAGTTATACCGAGTTTAATGAAAGGTGATGTTGTTTCAGGGACGAGTTATACCGTCAGTTTAATGAAAGGTGATGTTGTTTCAGGGACGAGTTATACTGTCAGTTTAATGAAAGGTGATGTTATTTTAATGAAAGGACAGGGACGAGTTATACCGTCAGTTTAATGAAAGGTGATGTTGTTTCAGGGACGAGTTATACCGTCAGTTTAATGAAAGGTGATGTTGTTTCAGGGACGAGTTATACTGTCAGTTTAATGAAAGGTGATGATGTTGTTTCAGGGACGAGTTATACCGTCAGTTTAATGAAAGGTGATGTTGTTTCAGGGACGAGTTATACTGTCAGTTTAATGAAAGGTGATGTTGTTTCAGGGACGAGTTATACCGTCAGTTTAATGAAAGGTGATGTTGTTTCAGGGACGAGTTATACCGTCAGTTTAATGTCAGTTTAATGAAAGGTGATGTTGTTTCAGGGACGAGTTATACCGTCAGTTTAATGAAAGGTGATGTTGTTTCAGGGACGAGTTATACCGTCAGTTTAATGAAAGGTGATGTTGTTTCAGGGACGAGTTATACCTGTCAGTTTAGTGAAAGATGATGTTGTTTCAGGGACGAGTTATACCGTCAGTTTAATGAAAGAGTGATGTTGTTTCAGGGACGAGTTATACTGTCATGTTTAGTGAAAGGTGATGTTGTTTCAGGGACGAGTTATACTGTCAGTTTAATGAAAGGTGATGTTGTTTCAGGGACGAGTTATACTGTCAGTTTAATGAAAGATGATGTTGTTTCAGGGACGAGTTATACTGTCAGTTTAATGAAAGGTGATGTTGTTTCAGGGACGAGTTATACTGTCAGTTTAATGAAAGGTGATGTTGTTTCAGGGACGAGTTATACTGTCAGTTTAATGAAAGGTGATGTTGTTTCAGGGACGAGTTATACTGTCAGTTTAATGAAAGGTGATGTTGTTTCAGGGACGAGTTATACTGTCAGTTTAATGAAAGGTGATGTTGTTTCAGGGACGAGTTATACTGTCAGTTTAATGAAAGGTGATGTTGTTTCAGGGACGAGTTATACCGTCAGTTTAATGAAAGGTGATGTTGTTTCAGGGACGAGTTATACCGTCAGTTTAATGAAAGGTGATGAAAGGTGATTTGTTTCAGGGACGAGTTATACTGTCAGTTTAATGAAAGGTGATGTTGTTTCAGGGACGAGTTATACTGTCAGTTTAATGAAAGGTGATGTTGTTTCAGGGACGAGTTATACTGTCAGTTTAATGAAAGGTGATGTTGTTTCAGGGACGAGTTATACTGTCAGTTTAATGAAAGGTGATGTTGTTTCAGGGACGAGTTATACTGTCAGTTTAATGAAAGTGATGTTGTTTCAGGGACGAGTTATACTGTCAGTTTAATGAAAGGTGATGTTGTTTCAGGGACGAGTTATACTGTCAGTTTAATGAAAGGTGATGTTGTTTCAGGGACGAGTTATACTGTCAGTTTAATGAAAGGTGATGTTGTTTCAGGGACGAGTTATACTGTCAGTTTAATGAAAGGTGATGTTGTTTCAGGGACGAGTTATACTGTCAGTTTAATGAAAGGTGATGTTGTTTCAGGGACGAGTTATACTGTCAGTTTAATGAAAGGTGATGTCAGTTTAATGAAAGGTTGTTGTTTCAGGGACGAGTTATACTGTCAGTTTAATGAAAGGTGATGTTGTTTCAGGGACGAGTTATACTGTCAGTTTAATGAAAGGTGATGATGTTGTTTCAGGGACGAGTTATACTGTCAGTTTAATGAAAGGTGATGTTGTTTCAGGGACGAGTTATACTGTCAGTTTAATGAATGATGATGTTGTTTCAGGGACGAGTTATACTGTCAGTTTAATGAATGGTGATGTTGTTTCAGGGACGAGTTATACTGTCAGTTTAATGAATGATGATGTTGTTTCAGGGACGAGTTATACTGTCAGTTTAATGAAAGGTGATGTTGTTTCAGGGACGAGTTATACTGTCAGTTTAATGAAAGATGATGTTGTTTCAGGGACGAGTTATACTGTCAGTTTAATGAAAGGTGATGTTGTTTCAGGGACGAGTTATACTGTGCAGTTTAATGAATGTTGATGATGTTGTTTCAGGGACGAGCTTTACACCCTCTAATGAAAGGTCAGTTTACGTCCTTTTGCCCTGCCTAACAGACCAACCATGTTTTTCAGGTTTAGGGGACGGAGTTATACTGTCAGTTTAATGAATGCGTGATGTTGTTTCAGGGACGAGTTATACTCAGTCACAATAAGAAAGGTGATGTTGTTTCAGGGACGAGAATACTGTCAGTTTAATGAAAGACAATGTTGACCTGGGACGAGTTATACTGTCAGTTATGAAGGATGATACAGTTTCAGTCGTAAGAGGTGTGAAATGCATTGAGTGGTCTGGCATGCCGTTCATGATAATGAAACCCAGTGTATCATGTTTTACAGACCGTCGCCATGAAACAAGACAAACAAATAAACGATAAGACAACAACGTTTCAAGTTACATCAGCCATTAAGTGTACCGCCAAATACCGTGATTCCCATGATGACCTATTATAGATCAATGTTAATGAATCAGGAATGCCAGTGAAACGACTAGATTCAAGCTGACCAAAAACACGTTTGTGTCTCAAGAAGATATTATCACCAAACACTGCCTCAATATCTGCCATATGGAATCAGTACATTAAAGCCTCGAAGACCTTGCCCTTGAACATGTTTTGAATCATCACACCGGGGAACTATTAACATCATCGTTTGTGATATTGTCTGTTGCAGTTTGCTCCGTGTTTCCGATGTTTCCTGAAGGAAGGTCCGACAGAGTTCACCCAGAAGGTGGAGAAACTCAACCGTAGAACCAGCATCGCCGGGACCCGTGGGTTCCCTCCCAGCTGGCTGGAGTTCCAGGTACGTCATAACGTGTGTCAACGTGGTGCTCCATACCACCGGTGTACAGTGCAATGACAGTGCCAGTATGATTAGTGAATTTGAATAATTTTAACACACCACAAAAGGCTATTTCAAACATCTACGCACGTTCCTGAATATTTCAGTGTCCATGTATCGCATAGAATATTTGGAAGATGTACCATGATCTCATGCCTTCTAGAAGTTTGTGTGAGGAGAATACGTCTTTCAAAACCGAAATGTTTGTACCAGGCTGCCAAGAACTCCAAACCCATCCTCCTTCCTATCACCTTCATGAACGGCCAACGCCTCCTCATTGAGGCTGATGCAGCTACAACGGTGCGGGAGCTAAGCAACAACCTTGCAGAGACGCTGGACTTCAAAGACAACGAAGGGTTTTCAATCTACGTGTGTCTCCACCAGAAGGTACGTCTATCATAAAACTTCACAAAATCAACTTGTGTGATTAATAGTGTATCAAGGTAGACAAGCAAATCCAGATTTGGTTATCTCGGGTTTGCCACAGTCTACCACTGTGCATGTGTCGTACATCGTATTGTCTCTAACAGCTAGTGCATCCGGTGGTCAGGCTGGATGAATTTTTGTCTGACTCTGTCGTCATACCTCGAAGTTTTTGGTCGTTTTTTCATAATACATGTATTGAGGGGCGGTGGGGTAGCCTAGTGGTCAAAGCGTTGGCTCGTCACGCCCAAGACCCGGGTTCGAATCCCCACAAGGGTACAATGTGTGAAACCTATTTCTGGTGTCCCCTGCCATGATGTTGCTGGAATATTGCTAAAAGCGGCGTAAAACCAAACTCAGTCAGTCAGTCAGTCATAATATTGATCATTCGATTGTCTGGTCCAGACTCGTTTATTAACCGACCACTATCATATAGTTGAAATATTTCTGAGCACGGCGTTAGACTAACAAACACTCACACATCTTGTTTAACAATTATTTTACTTAAACAATCACTGCCTTATTCTGTAATGTAACAATCTTAGTCTTTGCTTGAACCCCATTCAGTCATTGCCGCATATTTAAATTTGTGAATAGGAGTCATTTATCTTGTATAATCAATACTATTTGCTTCATCGTACATCTTATATCTCTTTTCTATCCTGTCACATCAGATCTCTTGTCTTGGCCACGGACTTCATCGAATAATGGATGCTGTGTCGGAATGTGAACAACACACCAAGACAATGGGCATGCGCGAGAGTAGCTCCCTCTGGCGGCTGTATTACCGGAAGGAGTACTTCACACCTTGGCACGACGCTAAGGAGGACCCCGCCTCCACCGACATCATCCACCAGCAAGTGATGCGGGGAATCTCACTCGGCGAGTACCAATGTCAGAAGGTACTGGTGACTATAGTTGTAATGCAAACGCTTATTGACATGCCTGTTCATGTGTTTATGACGTTGTTACAGGAAATATTACGCTTTCCAAAATACCCGTTTCATCACTATTTGATAGTGAATCGTAAACAGGTGCTTTAGATAAAATAGGATTCTTACAATGGTCTACATATATTTTTAAATATTTAATTTAATCATAGCAAACCGTTTGTAGCTTTTCTTTGTTGTTGTTATTGCCAGCACTTCTACGATGAACATGCAGTATACAGGGTAATTATGCCGTATTTGTGGGCAGTTGAAACATAATAACCACGCTGAGCATCTCCATATATACTACATCATTAGAGCCATGAACTACAATACTATATGAACAGTCAAAACCTGGTCTGACTTTGAAGTGGGTTTTCAGTCAACTAAATTGTTAATGCTTTCGTAAATCGTCATATAGCATTGGGGTTAATGGGGGAAAAACTAAATGTCGTCGTCTGGAGCACGTGTAGACCAGTAGTCAGTTTGATTAAATTCAATGTGTACACATTAACCCCATACAGTGAATTTAATAATTTATTATGGATATATAGAGAATCTCACCCGAGTGTCTTTTGACATCAAATATATCAATAACGAGTTGATAAAAGTGACAAAACCCCGAGGCTTCATATCAAAAGACTATCATGATTCTATTTATCATTAAATTGCATGCTTAATTTATCGTTCAAGACAGATTAAAAACGTATGGTCACATTGTAACAAGTCTCATTTGAAGACTTGCGTATGAATACATTCAGGTGAACAAGCGTGATTGAAGAGGGAACGAGTGACACCATTACGTCATAAAACAAGCACAAAAAAGTAGTGCTAACATTTATTGCTTTAAATTATGCAATGCATAAGTTTCACCACTTCTTGATAGCATTTTAAGTAAACTTTTATGTCGTTAGACTGACTGACTAACTGAGTTTGGTTTTACGCCGCTTTTAGCAATATTCCAGCAACATCACGGCGGGGGACACCAGAAATGGGCTTCACACATTGTACCCATGTGGGGATTCGAACCCGGGTCTTCGGCGTGACGAGTCAACGCTTCAACCACTAGGCTACCCCACCGCCCCTATATGTCGTTAGAACATATGATGAAAAAAGTAACACTCTCGACCTCAAAGAAGAAACTAGGGGAGATGAAAATAGTCCGAAAATATTAACAAATCAGCAATTAGCTCAAAACGTACCAAAACGATATCTCTTAGGAGATATCGCGTGATCTTCTCCAAGCAAGATGATAAAACAGAGAATAAATGGATTTTGCAATGTCAAATAAACCTCATTTTGATATATGAATATTCATCCTTAAGATATCTTTAATCTCACAACCTCCACCTTCCACAGGAAGAAGTGTTCGTCTTGCTGGGAGCACAGAAATACTACCTTGAACACTCAGAAGTGACGGATCCGAAGAATTTGGATCACCTCTGTCGGAACTGGTTCCCTGAGTCCTGGAAGGCGGATAAAGGGGTTCCTTACTTTGTGCAGAAGGTGGAGGAAGCCATCAAGAACAACTTCGGAAGCAAGAAGCCGCCTCACGCCCAAATCAAGGCGGACATTGTGACGTTCGCCATTGACAAGTGGTCTCTGATGTTCTCTCGCTACTACGACGCCAGCAAGGTGACCGGCCCCGGAGTGAACTCCGTCAACATCGTGGTGGGTCTGAGCGGGAAGGGCATGTATGTGCTGGACAATGGAGACTCGATTCGTGTACAGCTGGCGTTTTATGAGATGGCCAAGGTGGTCAAACACAGGTATGTATAATAAGGAGTGAGTGAGTGATTATGGTTTGACGCCGCTTTAGCAATGTTCCAGCAATATCACGGCGGGGGACACCAGAAATGGGCTTCACACATTGTACCCATGTGGGGAAATTGAACTCGGGTCTTCAGCGTGACGAGCGAACGCTTTAACCCCTGGGCTACCCCGTGTATAATGAGAAAATTCACCATGTAGTGAGTGAGGTTGTTCAACACAGCCTTGGTATTTCAGATAAATGAACATGTGTAACTTGATCTGAGATGCCAGTCACCCCCTCATGGAGGTGCACGTGCTGTGACACTTGCCGAGCACGACTCACTATATGCATTCGTGGCGCCTTACACCACTGGTGACCCTGTGGCTTCCTCACGCACCCATCCCCTTTTTCTCACCTCTCTATGCTGTAAAAGCATACCGTCGTCAACACAACACACATGTTTTTTACCAGAATAAGTAACTTCATTGGCATAGTTGGCTTTCACGGTCGTGTTCGTCCTAAAGAAATTGGGGACAAAACATAATCTGTTGTATTTGAGATTTTCTTAAAAAATATAATGATATTGAGAAAGTCCAGCGTCCTTCCAGGAAACCCTTCAGTGTTGGTGGTTTATGTTAGGTATGATTGGATCAGTTCCTCATTTCCCTGTACCGACATCTTCCTGTTTCCAGACACACAGTGAACATCACGACTGTGAGAGATGAGGAATACACTATAGTGTCTAATCACTCTGACGACTTCCATCTCCTCCTGGCGACATTCATAGACGGGCTTCAGCTGCGCTCCAAACACGCAGTAGTCACCGACAACCATCAAGGTACATCACTAGTTCAAATAGTCACCGACAACCATCAAGGTACATCCCTAGCTCAAATAGTCACCGACAACCATCAAGGTGCATCCCTAGCTCAAATAGTCACCGACAACCATCAAGGTGCATCACTAGCTCAAATAGTCACCGACAACCATCAAGGTGCATCACTAGCTCAAATAGTCACCGACAACCATCAAGGTACATCACTAGTTCAAATAGTCACCGACAACCATCAAGGTACATCACTAGCTCAAATAGTCACCGACAACCATCAAGGTGCATCCCTAGCTCAAATAGTCACCGACAACCATCAAGGTGCATCACTAGCTCAAATAGTCACCGACAACCATCAAGGTACATCACTAGCTCAAATAGTCACCGACAACCATCAAGGTGCATCACTAGCTCAAATAGTCACCGACAACCATCAAGGTGCATCCCTAGCTCAAATAGTCACCGACAACCATCAAGGTGCATCCCTAGTTCAAATAGTCACCGACAACCATCAAGGCACCTAGCTCAAATAGTCACCGACAACCATCAAGGTACATCACTAGTTCAAATAGTCACCGACAACCACCAAGGTACATCACTAGTTCAAATAGTCACCGACAATCATCGAGGTACATCACTAGCTCAAATAGTCACCGACAACCATCAAGGTACATCACTAGCTCAAATAGTCACCGACAACCATCAAGGTACATCCCCAGCTCGGGTAGTCATACACAATCAGCAAGGTACATTTCTAGTTCAAATAGTCATCGACAACATGCAACAGAACGCAATAGCGTGCTTCTGAAATTCATCAAATCAGATATAGGATAGTAACATAATCTTTTTTTCGTCTTGCAGATTTGAAGAAGGGAGACCTTATCACGTTGGACAAGGCAGTCCGAGAATATGATAAGTCTGACCACTTCCGGGGCCTTTGTCAGAGAACGGGCAAGAAGTGTGAGATACCACGTGATCTAGTCTTCGTTCTCAGCACCGTGGATGAACCCCCTCCGATTTTTGGTAAGTGTATATTTCACAGCACATACAGACCCACACATACAGACATATTCACAGCTTGAAGGATTACATCTGCGTAAACCACGCACACCTTCTCTCCACTCTTTGTCAACTGTCCCCGACCGCGTCATACCAAAAGACGTTAAAATATGGTACTTGTTGGTCCCTGCCTGGCGCTCGGCATTAATGGGTACAACAATGACTGGTCGGCTCGGAGTCAGTATACTGTGTCTGTGTGGGGTATTCATGCTTCACTGCGGCATGGTATCTCAGTGAGCTAGCACTATAAAACCAGCTTAAGTCTGGGCTAGTACAAGCAGCCGCACATACACATACACACGCATGCATGTCGTCATATGAGCGAAATATTCTCAAGCACGACGTTAAACCCAATTTCTCACCTCACCTCACCTTTGTCAACTGGATGAAGATGCGGAGGCAATGAGGTGCATGATGTAAATAGCAATTTCCACAAAACCGTTCAACTTCAGATATGTCTGACACTTCAGGGGCAGTCATGTGCTCTTCACGACAATATATCTGTTTGTTTCAGGCAATGCTTTCAGTGCAATTAGAGAAAGATACTCAGATATTCAAGAACCACGAAGACGGCCGGCCTCATACACTCCAGAAATACTCACGATATCATTTTAGGTGAGAACCTAGAACTGTCAGAAAGCTACTCATCCTCATTCAGACCCTTGTTGATAGCTACTGTAAAGTCCCCGGGCACTGTCTGTGTGGTATGTGATGAAGCACTAATTATGCCTGAAGGCAACGCTGACCGACCATCCAATCGTACCCAAAAATATACGAGACAGGCGGTGTGGCTGTAAAAGATTAATGCACAATATATTATATCTTTCAAATTGGTATACAACTGTATGCAAATACTATTTATGTATCACTAAGAAATGCATTGACAAGTATTTAAACGTTTTGTATCACACGCTATGCCACGTGTCGTTCTCCCATTCACATGCTATGACCTGGTTCCACTACGTCACTGACACCATTGTTTCAGACAACCAAACGAAAATGCCGTGACGAAGATGTTTAACAAGACGTCTTTAAAACGTGGGAAGGGGAAGAGCGAGCTGATGTGGCAGTTCAGTAAGGACCCGATCAAGAAGCCTCTTCTGAGAAAGTCCTTGAACCGAGATGACACCCGCCTGATGGCTTGTCGGACCTTCACTGATATCCTTCCACATGCTCCTGCAGCGTCACAACCGACTCACACTTGACGTGGCTCTGGTTGATTGGTTGACTCACTCACACTTGACGTGGGTCTGGTAGGTTGGTTGACTGATTCACACTTGACGTGGCTCTGGTCGGTTGGTTGACTGATTCACACTTGACGTGGGTCTGGTCGGTTGGTTGACTGATTCACACTTGACGTGGCTCTGGTCGATTGGTTGACTGATTCACACTTGACGTGGCTCTGGTCGGTTGGTTGACTGACTCACACTTGACGTGGCTCTGGTCGGTTGGTTGACTGATTCACACTTGACGTGGCTCTGGTTGATTGGTGGACTCACTCACACTTGACGTGGCTCTGGTCGGTTAGTTGACTGATTCACACTTGACGTGACTCTGGTTGATTGGTGGACTCACTCACACTTGACGTGGCTCTGGTCGGTTGGTTGACTGATTCACACTTGACGTGGGTCTGGTTGGTTGGTTGACTGATTCACACTTGACGTGGCTCTGGTCGGTTGGTTGACTGATTCACACTTGACGTGGCTCTGGTCGGTTGGTTGACTGATTCACACTTGACGTGGCTCTGGTCGGTTGGTTGACTCACTCACACTTGACGTGGCTCTGGACGGTTGGTTGACTGATTCACACTTGTTCTGGTTTGGTGGACTGATTCACACTTGACGTGGCTCTGGTCTGTTGGTTGACTGATTCACACTTGACGTGACTCTGGTCGGTTGGTTGACTGACTCTGGTCGGTTGGTTGACTGACTTTCACACTTGACGTGGCTCTGGTCGGTTGGTTGACTGATTCACACTTGACGTGGGTCTGGTCGGTTGGTTGACTGATTCACACTTGACGTGGGTCTGATAGGTTGGTTGACTGATTCACACTTGACGTGGGTCTGATAGGTTGGTTGACTGATTCACACTTGACGGCTCTGGTCGTTTGGTTTGACTGATTCACACTTGGCGTGGGTCTGGTTGGTTGACTGACTCACACTTGGCGTGACTCTGGTCGTTTGGGTGACTCACTCACACACTTGACGTGGGTCTGATAGGTTGGTTGACTGATTCACACTTGACGTGGGTCTGATAGGTTGGTTGACTGATTCACACTTAACGTGGCTCTGGTCGTTTGGTTGACTGATTCACACTTGACGTGGGTCTGATAGGTTGGTTGACTGACTCACACTTGACGTGACTCTGGTCGTTTGGGTGACTCACTCACACTTGACGTGGGTCTGATAGGTTGGTTGACTGATTCACACTTGACGTGGGTCTGGTCTGTTGGTTGACTGATTCACACTTGACGTGGGTCTGATAGGTTGGTTGACTGATTCACACTTAACGTGGCTCTGGTCGTTTGGTTGACTGATTCACACTTGACGTGGGTCTGATAGGTTGGTTGACTGACTCACACTTGACGTGACTCTGGTCGTTTGGGTGACTCACTCACACTTGACGTGGGTCTGATAGGTTGGTTGACTGATTCACACTTGACGTGGGTCTGGTAGAGTTGGTTGACTGATTCACACTTGACGTGGGATCTGGTTGTTGACTGATTCACGACTGATTCACTTGACTTGACGTGGGTCTGATAGGTTGGTTGACTGACTCACACTTGACGTGACTCTGGTCGTTTGGGTGACTCACTCACACTTGACGTGGGTCTGATAGGATGGTTGACGTTTGGGTGACTCACTCACACTTGACGTGGGCCTAATAGGTTGGTTGTTTGGGTGACTTGGTTGACTGATTCACACTTGACGTGGGTCTGGTAGTCTGGTTGACAATGTACGTGGTTCCCGGTAATAGATTGTTAAGAAAGATGTAACGTGAACTATAATAGCGCGCTTAACCGATGTAACACATCATGACTAGTCTCGTCGTGTCTGTTTGTTGACTTTAGCTGAAATCTTACAGATCCATCGTAAACGAATGATGTGCAGTAACATTACTATTGATGCTACTATTAGCCACGTATGCCTAACCAGATCAAATAAAACATGGATATGTGTCATTCATACACGATAGATCTCACAGTATTACTACATTGGGATCTACATAAACAATGTCCGTCTTTGTCCGTGATATACTTTGTAACTTCGTTATACACATACAGAGGACGGCAAGTTGTGTTTTCATTACTGGGGTCAGCGGGTGAATATGACCTGTGGGCAGCAAGCACCTGATTCAGGTTTATTGTTGTGAAACATAACTCATCCTGACATGGAATGGGTCATTAACAAATATCAACGACTGTCAGTTTTAGAACAACGTGAATCGTTTGTATACTAAAGAGTCCTTTCTCCAAATCATCAAATCAGAATTAACCCATTTATGTTTTCTCATACATCATGACCGTGTATGTATTGGATTTTATATAATCTGATAATCCTTTGGGGTGATATTCAGAGTTTCATGGATTAGCTATACTTGATCTAGATAACAAATATATATACACCGATCATATAATTTTTAAATATATATTTGAGACACAACATAATTGTTATTTGAGTCATGATATATCTCACCCTATAGTTAGTTGATTGGGATATTATAGTTTCATTTCACTAATTCATTCTTAAAAACAATGGTAGTAAGTACCATTTTTGAAAATCAAATTGTTTG